CTGTCACCAGATGCAGGCAGGCTCAGTTCCTGCAGGTGCCTGTTTGTCCCTGCAGCCACAGCCAGGGATGGATGATCACACACAAACCCTGCAGATCCTGCTGCTTGCAGGGCCTGAACTCCACAGCTGAGCCCTAAAACTGGAGTTCACCTTCAGGCCCTGACTGAAAATGAGATTTACAAACAAACCAGGGGTTTCTTTTCTCTGTTACAACAGCAGGGTTTGCTCAGGAGCTCACAGAGCAGCTGCTGCTCTTTCCCAGTGTTCCTGCACTCCCAAGCAAGTGCCCATCCCTTCCTTTGGCACCTGAGTGCTGTCCCACAGCCCCCAGCAGCATCCCCAGAGCTCTCAGCTCCTTCAGTCTCTGCTCCCTGCCCAAGTACTCGGGTGTTGTCACCTCTCTCATGTCACATCTCTCCAGGGAACATTTTCCTGATTGTTCCATGCTCAGAGTGCTCCTGCCTGGAGCTGCCAAAGGCTCCCAAAGCCTCTGGGCTGCTCCACATACCTGGGCAGGTGCTGAAATCCCACCTGGCCCAAGGGATCTCTGCAGGGAACAGGAGCTGCCTCTCCCCCCAGAGCATCCCACACCAGCCCTGCTGTGCCATCGTGTTTTGGGAGCTTCAGGTGCTCAGCAGCAGCAGCAGATGTGCCAGTGCTATGCCAAAAATTAAAGTCTGGGGCAAAAATATCATTGGGACGCTTTAAATAAGCGACCAAGACATAATTTGAAAAAAAAACCTGCTGGTTCAAGCAGAGAATTGGGATGTTAGGAACAATGTGAGAGCGGGCTAGATTTTATTGTAATATTATGTTTTTAAGGAATACTAAATTTAGGATCTAAAGATGTTCATACTTGAATATATTTAAATAATTACTCTGTGAAATATTCATCCTACAATCTGTATTCTTGCTTTTCAGGTGTCTTAGCATCTCACAAATCTGTATTCCTGGCCTTAAAAAGTGTGTTTCTTGCCTGAAACAAATTTAAACAATAATGTAAGATGCCATGAAACTTGAAACCTCCTATGTCAAGTCAAAAGGAGACACATCCCAGATAATTCATTCCACATTTGGAAGAGGTTTGGAGGTTTTTAGCTCAGCTCCATCCATTCACCTGAGAGCTTTTCCATTTCCTCTCAGTGGCCAAGTGTCCTCCAGGCTGCAGAGGGACAAAGCACATTTTAGGTGAGGATTTACAGCTGGATTTTGAGCAGCCCCCAGCTCATGTCAGCCTCTGGCAGTTTTGCTGGTGCAGGTGTTTGCACAGCACTGATGGCAACACTGAAGATGAGATCTCATTAAAACCCACCCAGGTCAATTCCCTAGTCCTTCACTGGAGGAAAAGGACACCAGGAGTGGTTTCCTGCCCCATGGGCAGGGTTTGAAGGCACAGCTCTCCCCTGGGTGACGCTGAGGTAGAGCAGAGAATCTCCCATGAGAAATGGGTCACAGCCTTGGTTCTCACTGGGGCACCCCAAGTGACACCTGCACAAAAAACCTGACAAATCCCTGTTCCCTTCTCGCCCCCCCCGTGCCTGTGATGGAGATCTCTGTGCACATTTACACCCAGAGCACTCCAGGAACTTTCCCAGCACTCTCAGGTTATCCAGAACCAGCACTAAGGCTCATAAATAGGATGAGCAGAGCCCTTCCCAAAGAGGAGCATCCTCCTCAAGCAGATCTGTTTCAAAGGCACTGGCCCAGGAGTAATTGAGGTGCTCAGTAAAATTCCCACTGTGTCCCAGAAGAAGTTTTGAGCCGAGGGGCTGTGATTTTGGGAAGGTTTTACACCCCAGTGTGCAGTGAAAGCTGAGCCCAGCAGGGCCTGACAGCGCTGTGGCTTCCAGCACTTGGGTGAGAAATAAGCCCAGCCTTAGGCAGGCAGTTAAGCCAGCCTAAACCCGTGCTTGCAGTACACAGCCCACTCCAAAAAGCACTTTTTTGGAAACCAGGGCCTTGACAACTCTGCTTTGGACAAGTCCCTGTTCTCAGGTTCCACTGGGCTCCACTTCAGCCAGAGCATTCCCAAAAAAACCCATCAGTTTGTGAGAGCCCCAGGCCAGCAAACGCCTCATTCCATGCCCTGGGCTGGCCCAGGCTGCCTCCAGGAGCACCAGGGGCAACCAGCCAGGTTTTAGGAATTCATCAGCCGGGCATGCACACCCAGCAGAGCAGAGCTGGCTTTTCTGGGCTCCACCATCTCCTGTTGCTCGTGCCTCAGTTTCCCCTCTCCAGAGCTGCAGAGGTGAAGGGTTTGCACAGAGCACTTCTACACCTTTAAATGGAAAACATCCAAATGCCAAATGCAGTGAGAAGCATTTCCCTGGGCTCCAAAGCAGGAATCAGTGTTGGACCTGCTGCAGTGGCACAGAGCAAGGAATGCTTTCCTCAGGAATGCAGAGGCTGCAGAGGATCAGCTTTGGTGCCCGGGGAGCAGTTGGGTTACTCGGGGTGGCTGCAGGGAGCAGGAGGGAGGGGAGCTGCCTCATTTCTGAGGTACCTACAGGGAGCTGTGTGCCAGCATCCCAGCCTGGTGATTCATAAGCTGCTCGTCAGGAGCTGTTAAATATCTGCTTTTTGCCAACGCTCACTGTTTCAGTCTGCCAAAGATACTGGAGAAACAGTCACTGTAAAAAATTTATAGTTTCTCCGGGGAAAACAAAAGCTTTTTGTGGCATAAAACGAGATCATAAATTAAAGCTTTTTTTTTTTTTAATTAAGAAGTTACATCATGTTTTGATGTAATGTGATGTGGCAGGTCATGCTTTTAATTTTAATAAGCTTAAAAAAGAGAGAGCGATGGAGATTTGGGAGTATAAATATTGTTTCTGAACCTGCATCTTCTCTTGGTGGAGGCTGGCAAGGCAGGTTCACCTCTGCCATCTGGGTTCAGGTTTTATTTCAGCAAAACAATCTCAGCTGCCTTCTGGAGGTAGCAGCAGCAGTTAATGAACTGAACTTCTACTCACAGAGCTTCCAGGAAATTACCAAACAGCATTAGCCCTCCTGTGGTATTTGTCATACTCGGGTATTGCTGTGCTTTAAAAACCTTTTCATCCCCACTTTACCTTTTTGGGAATCTCCTGCATCTTCCAATGGTTAAAAATCCTGGTCAGAGAGACCCAGGGCTGTAATCCAGCATATTCCAGGACTGCAATGTGAGTGGCCAGAGATTGCAGGAGCAAGTGCAGGGCTCCCAGAAGAGTTGGTCCTTACACAGAGGCACCTCTGGATCCAGGGCTGGAGCCCATCCTGCTGCAGGCACTTGAAGACTCAGGATCTGTGGCAGTGTGAGGTTGTGACAGAGAGCAGAATTCACAGATCTTTAAACTGATGTGAGCTCTCAGCACATCTAAGACTGTGAACAGGTACAGAAAAGTCTACCTGGTGATCAGTGGGTCTGGGCCCTTTTGTTTTATTCATGACAAAGTGAGATCAGCCTTTTAACCTTCAGTCACTGCCATAAGAAATGCAAAGGGTCAGGCACATTGCAGGACCAAACAGAGGGGGAATAATCACCTACTCAGCATTTCACTTCCCAAATTTGCTTCGTTTCTGCTTCAGCTGAGTCCCTGAATGGAGTTCATTCAGCCCTTTCTGACACAGCTTTCCTGGCCTTGGCTCTGATGTCCCCAGACCCAGAGGGGAATTGTCCTCATCCCTCCCTGGCTGTGGCTGCAGAGCATCCTGGAGCTCTCACTGCCTCCCTTGGCAGGAACTTGGCACTTTCTGGAGGAGTCTGGCACAAGCCTTGGGAGAGTGGAATAAGAAATGAGTGCTGTGACCCAGCTGAGTGATGGGGTTCACCCAGAGCTGCTCACCCCCTGCCCAGCCAGAGGTAATTGCCTTGGGGCACTTGCCTTTCATTCTCCTTTCTGATTTCTCTTGCCAGTCCTCTTATTTATTTTCCTAATAGTTCATTTTTTCTCCCATTCTGACTCTCATTTTGATATTTTTAATCCATTCAGAGTGGAGGGAAAAGGGTGACCCCTTGTCCTCATAAGTGACACCCAGTCTGAGCCTTGACTGACAGGAGGTACCATTAGAATCAGCATCCCTCCTCTGACAGGGACTATCCATGTTAACATCTCTGTGCTCTGGGCTGCGGGTTTGATCTCCCAGAGCTGTAAATTATGAGTGACTCCATCAAAGGCAGAGGCATTCCTGCAGTGCTGACACGGGGAGGTCAGGGGGAGTCGTGCTTTCAGGATTTCACATGTCTGGCTGGGGTGGTGCTGGCCACTTGTGCCATTCCCTGGGGTGTGTGCTGGCAGTCAGCTGGCACAGGGACCTGCTGGGACTGAGCTTCTCCCTGCCCTGGCTTTCTGGAAGATCAGGCTCACACTGGAGAGCCTGGCTGTGGAGGCAGAGCCGTGCAATGCTCTATTGGAAATCATATCAATATCAAAACACAATAAAAGCGAACCAAAACATCTGAAATCATTTTCTCTGTGTACACAGAGTTTGTCTCCTTGGGGTAAAACTGATCTTGCAGAGTTCAAGAGGAAAGTAAACTACTGCAGGCAGGGAAAGTTCATCAGAACTGGCTGAGAGCAACAGGCCAAGATTAAACATCTCCAAAGTTAAACTGTGAGGAGGAAAATGATTTTGCCTTCAGTTCCACAATTTTGCACCCCTGTTGTATGACTGGTTTCTGTGCTGGTAATTTCTTTGCATTAAAGAAAGCCATGAATGTTCTGGAGGAGGCTGAACTCTTAGAAGAGGCTCCGTGGGAAGGAGGGAAGAATGCAGAGTTTTGATTCATGCCAGAAGGAATGTGCTCACTAGGAACAAAGTTTACAAAACTCGTTTCAGGAGGTACCAAACCACAATGAGATCAAAACCTGCATGATCAGACTAAGTTGGAAAACAGAGTGAGGAGCTGCAGAAATGGGTACATAGGGAGACTGGGGAAGGTCAAAGGTGGAGGAGCCCTTAAATCTCTTTGCAACTGAGAGAAAACAGAAAAAAGATTTTTAAGAACTCCATACTTTGTATTCTCTTAGATAATGAGAACATAAAACGTCTGGTTTTCATCTTTTTTACACTTATGTAAAATTAGGATCAACTCACCAAGTTAATGGAGTTACATAGGTTTAAATCTGGCATAAGTGAGATAAGAACCAGGCCTGTCAGTTCATTAAGGGCTTCATTAACTGTGACTGCAATATCTTGCAGAGCCTGCAAATAAAAACATCATTTGAGGCTGCAGGAAGGGATCCTGCCTGTCCTGGAGTGTGCTCCACAAGAGCTGCCCATTCCCAAGGCTGGAGGTGTCCCTGGGAATGATGGATCCGTGTTTGCCCAGCCCCAGGGCTGTCCCTGGAACATTCAGGGTGGCTGCACACCCAGGAGGGTCTGACAGGCACACACAGGGCTGCACACACCCGGGATCTGCCATTTAATTCAACTTGGTCAGGACTTCTTGGCTGACAGAACTCTCCTGTTTATGTTTATCTCAGATGTAAGTTAAATATAAAACTTCCTTCCACCATTCTGTGCTCTCTGCTGAGGGATTGCTGATGGTCTCATGATGCTTCTCAGCCCACTCTATGCCAATTTGACTCAAACATCAAGATAAATGTGCATTAAAAACCATCCACGAGAAGGATCTGAATAACAAAGCCATGAGCAGCTCCCTCACAAAGTTTATTCCCCTTCAGGACTGATGGGCTCCATCATTTCAGCTCTGCTCTTTGATCAGGAAATGATGCAAATATCCCATGTCCCTCTGTCAGGGCAGTTGTGAACAACTGCTAATTTTTTTGTTTAAGTTATAGGTCAAGCAGCAATTTCCCAGCACAGCCCCTAATGAAAGCAAAGATTTTCTTCCTTTTAAGCACACATCAGACCAATCTAATTTACTGGGCAGAAAATTCACTTTAGTGCAGAAGGACAATCCAGACGTATACACTACTTAGGCTCTTGTTAAGTGAAAATTGGGATAAGTGGTACTAAGTGGATGCATAGATCTTCAGCTTGTCCTCTTCAATAGGGTGAATTTTACCCTTAACAAGAAGTGTAAGTAGAGCATCAGTGTTGTCTGGGTTCTTCTGAGGATCATTAACACACAGCTGAGTTTCCCCATAAAGATGCAGCACGAAATGGGAATTAATTGAGCTGTTTTAGTAGTTATGTACTTCCTGCTTTTTGCTTCTTACTTGTAAACTGTGAACTCTATTATGTCTTGTCCAAATTATGCTGGAGAAAAAGGTTTTGAATTAATTTCTATCAATCCTTCCTGGGATTTCCTTATGCATTTCTACCCCATTTCTGCTATTTGTTCTGCTGGAAATTTATCATATCACAAGGAAATCCTGCAGACACTTAATTTAGGCTTGGTGTGACTCTCTAGGTTTGCCCTTGAGAAGGTCTGCTCAGAATGCAGCGAGGCAAGCTCAGATATGCAGATTGGATATGGGCCCTCCAAACAAACTTCACAGCCACAGTTCCAGCCACCAGGGAAGGGCTGATGGCAACCTTAACCTGGGAAAGATTCAAACTGAGCCTGAGGGAGCTCCAGAGGAGTTTGGCTGTGTTTGTCCTTCCTTTAGACAGCAGCACCAGACACGTACAAGGCTCAGTTCTCTCATTCCTGGGGAGCTTCGGGTGTAGCAGTGAGGCTGGTGTGACTCTGACAGGGATTTGATTTCAGAGAAGCTCTGCAAGGTCTGCAGTGATGCCAGGGAAGATGTAATTCAGCTCCAGGCTGCCAGATCTCCATCCTGGAAAAAGGGGGAGCTTTCACTCTCCTCAACTCCTGCCAGGAGGGTGCAGCCCCCCCCAGAAGGGGATCAGGCTCTTCTGCCATGTCCCACGTGAAGAGATGAGAGGAAATTGGTTTAAGCTGCACCAGGGCAGGTTCACATGAGATATTAGAACATTTTTTCACTGCAGGAGTGGGCAGGCATTGGAGGGGGTGGAATCAGCATCTCTGGAAGTGTTCAAGTGGCACCTGGATGTGGCACCTGGGGACAGGGTAGGGGTGATGGTGCTGCTGGGTTGATGGTGGCACTGGATGACCTGAAGGTCTCTCCCAACCCTGATGATTCTGTGGTTCTGGGACAGCTGGGCTCGGCTCTGCTGGGCTCAGCTCTGCTGGGCTCAGTGTGGTGACAATTCTGGTTCCTGGGGATGGGCGCTGCCATCGTTGCACTGCCCAAATCCACACCTCAGGGGGATGAGAATGGACAATCCTGCTCTGTCCTGAGAGAGAATTTCAGTAGATGTTCCCAGGCAGGTGGCCTGAATTGCTAATAGAGCTTGGAAATTTCCCTTTTCCTGTTGTATTCTTTTTCCCACTTGACCCTAAATCAATCTTCTGGCTGGTTCAAAAAGCCCCATGGTCCCAGGGGAATGTAAATGACACCTTGGTGTGAGAGCTGCTGCTTTTGGCTCGTGGCCCTGATGTCATTTCAGTGCTCTGTCCATCAGGAGAACGTCCCCTGACACAGACACTGGGTTACCTTCTCTGCAGTGACTCATCATTTTCCCACAATTAAATTTTTGAGCTTTAATGCAAAGCAGACTTATCTGCTTTGACAGGACAGTACAGAACAAACAGAAAAGACTAAATTTGTATTGGCAGCTACCACTGAGCTGCAGTTATGAGTAATCCAGCACAACCAGAAAGGACACCAAGAAATCCAAATAGACTCCAGTGGCTGGAGAGCCAAAAGAGAAGCCAGAGCTGTTGGTCCCCAGGAACTCCCTGGTTAGAGTTGTACCAGGACACTGGATGGGAACAGCAGCAATAAATGTTTCCAGGATTTCTCTCCTTTCTATGTATCTCTATATAGTGTTTGTTCAATAAAAAAGACAATAAAATATTAAAAAACAACAACAAAACAAACAAACAAAAACCCCCAAAAAACAACAACAACAATAAACAAACCTAAAACAAAAACAAAACAAAGCAAAAAAAAGAGCCAATGACACTGTGGTTAATTTCTCTGTGTGCTATGAAGACTAAACGGAAAAAAATCTCTCCTCACAATGTGGACCAGCATTCAAACACAGCAATTTCCTCCATCCTGTGCCCTCCTGCACCCAGAGCAGCCCTTCCCACAGTGTCCCATCTGCCCAGCTCTCCAGTGCCCCTGAAATCTGTGCGATGCTGGGATGGGCTGAGTGAGACCCAGCCCCACACTCCAGTGGCTCCAGGAGGCTCCTGGAAACCATCACTGCCCACACTGGGTTCCAGTCAGGTTTAATTTGTTCTGGCCACAAGCTAAAGACAATTCCCTGCTGTCACAGATGCTTTCTTGTGCTGGGGGACATCTGTCACACCTGGAAATGTTTGTGGAAGAGGAAGGGAGGCAATTTGTACACAAAAAAATTGGGTTGAATCTTACCTTGGAGATCTTGGCTCGCAGATTCATCAACTCAGGAATCTTCTAACTGAGAAAAGGATCCAGCTGGGTTTAGTTCCCCCAATCCCATGGGCCCAGCAGTGCTGCTGGATGGCCCAGTCAGGAACTCTGGCAATGAAGAAAAACATGGAATTTCTCATTATATTTATATCACTGGCTCCAAATGTACACGTGCAATTACTGCATCTGCATGTGCAGATCAATAAAAAAAAAAAAAAAAGTACAGGTGAACAGAACTTGCTGGCTCGTGTTTCAGCAAATTAGGACATGATTACACACAGTCAAAAATCTGGATCCTAAACCTTTGTACACTTCTGTTGTGATATTTTGTAATTGCTAATTGCAACAATATCCGTGCAGGGTATGTAATTCAACATGACAAGTGTTTTTAGCAGCAGGTGAATAAGATCAGTTATTGAAACAGCAAAATTATTGCCAACATTGAGGAAATTAGATAAAAATGCAAGGTCCAAAGAGCCTCATTCATATCAGATCTAACACAAGCTGGAGTTAACACAGAGAATTGTTAACTTCACATGTCAATAAATTATTTAAATAGTTTATAAGGAAACAGTGCCTTGGCACAGTTCTGACTTTTCAGCATCATAAACAGAGTAGTAATACTACACAGCTCCTCTCATATATTTATATTTTGGACTACTCACCTCTTGTATTCTGTGTGTAAATTGGAAAGCCTTCAACATTAATATACCAGACACGAATTCCTGCCTTGACCAGCTCCCAGAGCATGGGGAAGCAGAAGCTCTTTTTGTTACACCTCAACTCTGCTTGCACTGGCTCACATCGAGCCTGACTTTTGGTCCTTAAGCAACACTTGGCATCATTTATTCCAAACCACCACAAGCCCTCATCTTGCACTGCCTCCTCCAAGGAGGTGATGCTGGAGAAGGCTCTGAGTTGCTTTTTTGGGAATTCCAGTTTGAGCCTCTGTGTCTGCACTGGGAGCTTTGGGAGCTGGGTCTGGGCAGGACCCTGGAAAAAATGGACCTGGTTCTGTGCCAGGGATTTTTTGGACTACCACGAAGAGGGCTTAACTTTTAATTAATTTTTAAATGCCAAGCATCAAGGATGTGATATCCTTAACGAGAAGGATGGAAGCACCTTGCCTTTCCCTTGCCCTCCAACATGAAATGAAGGCTGGGTGTCCTGCAGGAGCCCCTGGGAGAACAGGACAGGGCTGTGGCTTCACATTCCTTCCTCAGACACTGCAAAGGGAGCAGCTTTGGCTTTCACAGCCCAAGAAGTGCCCTCTTCATCCGTGTACAGTCAGGATGATGAGCAGCACAGACTCCCCTGCCCAGCTGCAAGTTCTGCCTTTGTGGCAACTTTGCTGTCAAAAGCAAAGGAATCACAAAGCACAAGTGAAAAGGATTAATCTGAGTGGTCTCTCTTAGCTGAGTTTTACATCAGACTGGATATTTAAAACCCATTATCCCGTGTCAGTCTGCTGCCATAAATCCCCCCTGGCAGAGGAGGATGTGGCAGGTTGGGGCTCTCTGATCCTGCAGCGTTTGGGGGCTGCTCCAGGAGCATTTCCCAGCTCCCAGCTCCTTCCTTAACCCTCTGCCCTGATCACCACCAAGAGTTTTATCTGATTTCTTGGTGTCCTGGTGATCAGGTGATAAATAAATGACCATTTCCATACCTGCACAGAGACAGCAGGCACTCAGGAAACGTTTGTGCCCAAAGTCAGCATTTGGGAACCAACACCACAGGCCCACGGCCTTCCCACTTCTGCTTTCACTTTAAGATTCTTTCTTAATGAGGAATAATGAACATCAACACCCGGTTATTCAGTAAAGCAAAGCATATAAGCAATTAAATTAAATTAAATTAGCACAGCCAAGCAAACAAAGCAGTAATCATTCAAGTCCTCTATTTAAGCTGCAGCTATAGTGATAGACTGAAGAATAACAACACATTCCACTAAAGACAATTACTATTAAATTTTTACTTTTTGAAAATCTCAAACACTGAGTAAATACTAATTTTTGTCACAAAAGGTTCCTTTTAAATCGTCTTCCCCTCTCACTTCAAAATGTGACAAATCCCAGACAGAACTGGTCTTTTATAAGGTTCATTTTACAGGAGGATATTCAGCATTATCTTCTCCACACAGTTTGAGCTCGTATCCTCCTGGGAGTCTCCAGCACTTTCCTTGAATGTACTAAAACAAGGATTGGCCAGTCCAGAACAGTAAAGGATGGAGGTATTAGAGAATAGTCTTGGGTCAAGAATTATTATTGCTAGAGGCCTCCAAAATCTAGTTATGGGTTTCAGCAAACCCTGTGGGCTCTTATGATAATGCTTTTCTACAGTATTATTGTTATATGGCACTAAATCAGTCAGATTCATGAGCAACAAGAGGTCAATGTCTGATTGAAATTCATAAGGTCAAAAAGGAAACTAAAAATCAATTTATAAGATATGAAGATTTAGGTTCAAACTATATCCATGAGCAATAAAATTTCACATCCATAAATGTAAGAAATCAGTTATTAAACTTGAGGGGGGGAAGAAGACTTATTAAGTTTTACACACACATAAGGCAGCTAACACATAATTTTATCAGACATTACTGAAATCCTATGTGTAATATAAGAGATGATGGGCTAAAATGCTAAATGGTTTAGCACTAAATTATTAAGTGATGTATCCCTAAGGTATTAAAAAGATAAGAAATGCAGAGCAGGTGTCTCTCCCACCAACTCTTGATCACCAGTTTAAGTGCATATTGATAACAAATGCACTTTAGAGGCAAAATAGTATTAGTAATATTTTTGCAGTGTGAAAGCCTCATGTCAGAATAACTAAAAGCTTCTACCTGACAAAGAAATGTTCATATATATTACATATATATATATATATATATATATACACATATATATATAAAATCATGTTAAGTGTTAGCTCCCTGTGGAACAGAAATGAACCTCCAGTTCTGTGGAGCTGCTTTGGTGCTTACACATGAGTAAATAATGGAGGGGAAATAACAACTCCACCACACTGAGAAGGAGAATTATAGCAAGGACTCTTACCTGGGCTGAAATGAAAATGCATTTTTATTAAAATTACAGATTAATGGAGATTGCTGGAAACCAAGAGGTATAAAAATGGAACACTGCAGACAAATGTGGCTATTTCAAGCCTAGCCCATGGATTCCACAAGAACTCTTTTTTCCCTTGCTATTAATTTTCCATTTGTGCCCCCTTTGGATTGGTGATTGCTCAGGGAATGCTGCTCACAATTGCTGTTTTGGTCTCTTGGTGCCTCCAGCCTCAAAGGCAAACTAAACCAGGAGACCCTGAACTTCTCCTGCCTCCAACATTCCTTGTTTTCCCCTTTGGGAACAACCACGTCTGCATCCCTTCCAGGCTGGGTCCTGCAGTGCCTTCTTCCATCCCTGTCCACAAGGACAGGGATTTGTGCATCCCATCCCTTTGCCAGGGATTCAATCAGTTTTACACTTACCCAGGGATTCAGGGCATCCAATCCCTTTGCCAGGGACTCAATCCATTTTATACTTTCCC